GGTACGTTTTTTTTTCTTCCTTGGCTCGAAAGCAACCGCACACACCAATCGACGTGATGTCGATGTGCTCATTTGGTGTGGGTTATTGGATGAGTAGCTGCGCTTTGATATCGTATACCATACCCATTTCAAGTGCAACAAGCGCCGCGTGGTGGACTACCCCAACCTGTGGGGCTACACGCGGGAGATTTACCAGATGGAGGGTGTCAGCGGGACGTTTAACCCGCTGGAGACCAAGAAGCACTACTTTGGTACGATCCGTGCCGACAGCGCGTGAGAGATGGGCTGAGGCCAAAGTTTCCAAGGTTTATGAGCGTATCCGAGCTGAGCTGACGACGACATTGGTTGTGTGTGTGTGCGCGCGTGTGTGTTCTGGCGCTTTGTATGTTGCTGTAGGTTCCCATCGCAAGATCAATCCTCTGGGCATTGTGGCCCAAGGGCCGGACAATTACGAGGCGTTGCTTAGCGAGCCCCACGGCCGCGATCGCGCCTACAATTAAAATACCCGGGGAGGGCCAACTCCCTCTTGTATACGCGTGTGTCCATTTTTAAATTTACAAGCGCAACACGATGGGTCTTCTGTCGGGGTGGGTGTTTCCAAACTGCAGTCAAGTGAGCCAGGCAGGCCCTCCACTATGCATGAGCTTGTAGTGGCAACCACCCACGCGTGTTGACAGACTCTTTGATCCCTCAAGCACCATCTTCTCTCCCTCCGACCTCGTTCAAAAAGAGTCTCTGCTACACTTGCTCCTCACCCGCGTCCCTTCCTCAGTCCCGTCACCCGCTGCCCTTGCTGCCCCGAACCTCGCAATGTTGAACAAGATGCAAGTTGCTGCAGGGGAAATGCACCTCGGGTTTTTTACTCTTCTTTAAACCGTTTATTTCGATATACGAGAAGTTAATGTATTTCTGCTAGGAATGATGATGTAAGTTATTGCAGGAGATATATCGGTTTGTGAAGGTTGCCGTTGCAATGCTCCAGAAGGCAAACGCGCGTTCAAAGGGAACGAGCAGCACCATGACCGCCATGGCGATGAACCTAAAGCTCGCCGTCAGGAATGGTCGCTCACGTCAGGAATGGTCGCTCACGTCAGGAATGGTCGCTCACGTTTGGGCGGGGAATAAGATTGGTATGACCAGAGGGGGGCATTTAGCCAACGGGCTTGGAATGGCATGGCTGGCAAAGGGGCAGTACATGTTGTAGGTACGAGCCCCATTTTTGTGGTGTAAGAGGCGAGCTGTCATGGCTGGCAGAGGGGCAGTACACGTTGTTCGTACACAAGGCGTGAGAAAGAGAGAGAGAGTTTGAGAGACAGAGAGAGGTTGAGAGAGAGAGTTTGAGAGAGAGAGTTTGAGAGAGAGAGAGTTTGAGAGAGAGAGTTTGAGAGAGAGAGTTGAGAGAGAGAG